GGCTACATCTTGCATCCCTTTGCTTAGTTTTGTTTACTTAGTCTAGCATTGAAGTACCAGGAATAGAAGATGAAAGAAATCATCACGCACCATATCATACGATTCTTATTCTCTTTTCCTGCAGATATTGTAATTCTAGGTTAATTGGCAACTAAAAAGCAGAGGCTTCTTAGTTCCTTTACACATAATGTTGCTTGTAAGTTATTAGCTATCATTTCTGCCTAGCCACATTTGCCTTATTGGTTATCTATTTTAGCTTTTAAATCTTTCAGTTGATGTAGTAATTTGTCAATGTTGTGTGCAACTCATATGTTGTCCTCATGTATGGATCCCCTCCAATATAAAGAGAAATAGGAGCAATAATGTCCTCATGTATGCATCTCTCTCATGTAAGATGGAAGGAACTGTAAGTTCAGTGAATTTGTCTTCTCTGTTCATTTTGAGTATCATGTAGTCTTTAAAAATTCTAAGGAAGTATTGCTCTAGTTTCCAAGCTGCACTTCCTTTTAATTTTTTTAACTCATCTTGTTAAGGTATAAGTGTCCTACCAAAGTGCCTGCTTGTTTAGCCTGGTTATTTATTTCTAATTAATTTCCTTGTTGGTTGTTTTATATATATTATGTTGTCTCAGGTTGTAAATGTACTTGATAATAGAACACGGAAACATTCTCGTGGTGACAGTATTCAGGTGTTGCATCTAGACCCATCTCCTCTTACTTTCCTTTACTTGGATATCTGGCTTCTTTGGATGTAGCAATGGTGATCTTTTGAACAATTGTGGAGTATCACTAATCTTGAAGTTAACATTTAATTGCATGGTATTGAAGAGGAATTCAATAGAGTTGCAAATAAATTAACTAGTCATCTGAGATGTTTCTTTGAGTTGTTTTGAGTGCCATAGGATATGCTTATGAACAATTCCCTTTTATATCACATTCACATGAACTGCAAATTAATTTAGTGTCCAGCTAAAACTTATTTGTTGGATGAACAGATGAAGACAAGTAGTACAGCTCTTATACTAAACAAACTTTAGAATTAGTATGTAAGAATTCAAAAGTTTTCTATTTTTTCTGTGTTAGATTACTTAAACATAAAGGCATTCCTTTAATGTTCTAGTCATTTTGTAAAATGCATAGGTATCTACTCATTCTGTGTTAGATTACTTATATCACGGTCCATTTTTGGTGAAGGTCTACACTTGATCAACTTCATTGAAGAAGGAGGTTGTGGATGCTGCATTGATCAAAACCATTGAAGCAGTGCCGGATTTGAAGGCTTATTTGGGTGCAGCGAGCATACTTATGTAGTATCAAATAAGTATATTTTCATACTTAAGTAGTACGGAGTATCAATCAAGTAGTATATATTTTTTATGTTTTTTTTTTATGAACATGAACATAATTTTTGTTGTAAATAATTTTGATGTTTAAATATATTTTCAATTTTCAATTTAGTGTGTTCATTAATTTGTTGATGACATAATTTATTAACAACAGTTATAAATAAAATTATGGTAATATAAAAATAATAAAAATATCTCATATGATTTAGGATTTTCTTACCAACAGTGGGAAGGAATATAACAAAATACAATAAGTGAGTTTTCCGTCCAACGTTGGGTCGGAATTTCCGACCAATGCACGTAGTTGGAAGGAATTTCCGGCCAAGGCACAAAGTTGGTCGGAAGTTCCCACGTTTTAAAAATGGTGGGTTACTTTCCGGAATTTCCGTTCAATTTTTGTTCGTTGAACGCTATTTCCGACCAAAAATTGTAGTTGGACGGAATTTTCCACGGAGATTTTTTCGAACGTTTCTTTTGGTCGGTATGTTGGACGAAAACATCATTTCTGACCAATATAATGCAAACACAAAAAAGTTATATATAAGCCCGCAGTGGAGAGCTGGCCTTAATTAATTAATGCTAGTCAGGAACAAGCTAGCTTCAACCTTTTTATGGTACTGAGTAATCTTCTGCAATTTCATCGGGTGATCTATCTGACCCATGATTGGATGGTCGGATTTCTAGGTTTATTTCTTTATGGATCCGAAGAAGCAATATAAAATTGGATCAACGGAACAATTAAATTATGGATAGCCTTGTTAAATATAAAATTTAGATGTTTGCATGTTTTAGCAAATATGGAGAATAACGATTGAATATTTTTTTTGGGTAAACCCAAGGTGTCCACCATCGTGACTAATTCCTTTGTTGAATTGTAGGTACTCCTCTTTTGAATGGGACAGCTGACCTGAATTTAAGGTCTACTTCATTCCCAAAGTCAAAGATGGAACCCTTGACCTTTGGTTAAGGATGAATGAGTCCCACTCAGCCACACCCCTCAAGTTAAAATAACGATTGAATATGAATATATGATTTTTCTTGACCCATCATATATGGAGTCATGATGATTTGCAAATAAAATATGGAAAATACATTACTAGCCTAGCTATATGGATATATGATAGAGATGTATAGATCTTGAGATTTAATTGAATTAAGTGTCTTATATAGACATAAGCATGTATACTAACGTTTTTTTTTTTACTGGTGAGATCGAACTAGTTGTCTTGTCCCACTCTATATAGAATTATATTCTTTCAACACATTATATTCCACATGAGACTTGGCTTGTCTTCATGGAACACATACCATTCCACGTTACTCAAGCCTTACTGCAGCCTAGCTAGGAATATGCTATTTATATATAATTGTGTCAATGCTTCTATCTACGTACGTACTCGTGCTAATCATGAGTCTTAATAATCAATTTTTTAGTGAAAAAGAATTAAATTAGGGAAGCACTTTTAATTCCGTAATTATTAAGTTCATTAAACATGATTCTTCACTTGCTTATGTCTCTACTTGTTCGTCTTCAAGTTTGGCACGGCAATAGTAATGCTTTCGATATCACGCAATATGTGTTCTGTGAATCATGTATGACTCATCTGTAAACTAAAAGCATGAATTTATTGTCAAACTTACGATCAAAAGTACACGTTAATTAGTAATATATGAAGTAATATAATGATGATTTTGATTATCGCAGTGGCCCATAACCATCTCATCTTCTACTAATAATATTGATGTCATGCATTTCATTACTAATTTAGTTACAGATTACTCATTTAAAATTCACAAACATCATTTTAATTCCGTACTTCTTCTAATTCCGTAATTATAAAGTTACATTAAACATATTTCTTCACTTGCTCATGTTTTACTTTTTCCAAGTTTGGCACGAGTAATGCTTTTCATCACCAGATATCACGCAAGATGCGTTCTCTGAATCATCTATGACTAATCTGTAAACTAAAACCATGAATTTATTGGCAAACTTACGATTAAAAGTGCACGTTAGTAATTGGAAATGAATCATTCAATATATGAAGTAATGATGATTTTGGTTATCAAATATCAAAGCAGTGGTCCAATAACCATCTCATCTTCTACTAATATTGATGTCATGCATTTCATTACTAATTTAAGTTACAAATTACTCATTTTAGTGCCAATCCCATGATTAAAAGTAAATACCTGTAACGGAAAATAAACCATCAAAAACAACATAGTGATGATTCTGATTTGGTCATCAAATATCACGAAAGAAGTGGTCTAATAAACTTTCTCATCATCTACAAACATTAATTAATATCATCACGTGTTTCCAGTTCCTTTCTAGTCATGATACAAATCACTCATTTAAGAACTAAAAACATGATTTTACTAATTTTAGTGTCAATCTCATGATTAAAAGTAAATGTCAACAAATGAAAATGAAAATGAAAATGAATTGTTGAACACAAAATGGTGCTGCTTTTAGTCATCAAATATCAAAGAAGTAGGCCAAAAACTTTCAATTCTCATCTTTTACTAACTATTGACACAAAGTAGTAATGCTCTTGATCATCAAACAACAAAGAATAAGTGGTTCAAGAACATTCTCATCCTCTACTAACTATTGACGCTCTCACTAATTCCGCTACAGATTACTAATTCAAAAACTAAAACCATGTGTCATATCAATAGTTAGTAAAAGATGAGAAAGTTCTTGATCTATTTCTTCTTTGAAATATGATGAGCAAATTAAAAAAATTATTATTTTGGGTCAATTAGTTCATTTTCAGTTATTGACATTTACTTTTAATTATGGGATTGAAATGAAAATCATGTTTTTAGTTTTTAAATGAGTGATCTGTAACAAGGAAATGCATGATATCAATACTTAATTTGTATAGTAGACAATGACATGGTTCTTGGACCACTTCTTTCGTGATATTTAATGACCAACATCATATCATTACTATTTTGTTTCTAACAATTCATTTTCAGTTACTGATTGACATTTATTTTTAATCATGGGATTGACACTAAGATCATGCATGTTTGTAATCTTCAAATGAGTAATTTGTAACAAAATTAGTAACGAAATGCGTGAAGTCACTATTAGTAGAAGATGAGAAGGTTATTGGACCACTTCCTTCACATTTCATAATCAAAATCATCATTAATTAGTCACGTTAATAGTTCATTTCCAGCTATTCACATACAATTTGATCGTGAGTTTGACACTGAAATCATATTTTTAATTTTCAAATTATTCATTTGTAACAGACCTTGTAAAAAAAATGTGTGATATGATAAGTAATTAGTAGACAATGAGAAGGTTTAGTGAATACATCTTAGCTTGCATGATATCTGGCGATGAAAAGCATCACTAGTTCATGCCAAACTTGAAGATGAACAATAAAGACATAAGTAACGAAAGCTAGAATCGTGTTTAAAAATGCCTCCGTAATATAAGTCTTTTTCACTGAAAATGGGTTGCTAAGACTCACAATTATCACCCAGTAGATAGAAGGTTCTGACAACTATATATATATATATATATATATATATATATATATATATATATAGCATATATATTCCATAAATAAATTATACATACCTAAGCATCATCTATATATCATCTTCTTCTTCATTCTAGCTAGTTCGATCAATGGCTTCTGAGATCAGCTTCAAGCCGATGTTCTCCGACCTTCAATTCGAGTTTGATGAATCTGAGGATTGTTGGGTCCGCAAGCCAATTTTCTCAGACCTTCAATTCGAGTTTGATGAATCCGAGGATTGTTGGGTCCGCGGTGACGACAAGGTTGCAGTAGTGTCCGAGACGAGGTGGTCGCCGACGACGGTACTACCGAATGGTGGCGGAAGTAGCGTGGTTGAGCAGGTGGCGGTGACGGCGGTGGGTGTGAAGTCGGTGCCGATGAAGATACCGGATTGGAGGAGGATCCTGGGCGTGGCGTTCCAGCAGGATCAGCGAGCCCGACAAGACAGCGACTATAATGCGCCATGGTCGGTGGAGGAGGACGAGTACCTTGGACTGCCGCCGCATTTGTACTTGGCGAGGACGAGAGTGGCGTCCCTGTCGGGGAGGAGTGTGAAGGGGAGAGATCTGTGGCGACTAAGAAACGCTATTTGGAAACAAATTGGTTTCGAAGATTAGCGCTTCCTTCCTTTCTTTCAAACTGTGAGTCAAGAATCAAGATGGGGTTTAAGGTTGTTGTTTGGTTCGATAGTCACCTTGTTGTTTATTCATTTTAGTACAAGTTTTAAGGTTGTCGGGTCAATATGTTTAATGTTTCCTCTAATTTTAATTTTTCTTTTCATTTTTTAATTTTCTAGAGAAGAGATTTTTTTTTCAGGGCTGGAAATCCTTCTATTTCCGTCCAACGAAAGAGTTATTGGTTGGAAACGAGTTTCCGTCTAACATTCCGTTCAAAATGAGACCTCCGAAAAATAAACATCGGTAATTTCATCCAACATCATATGAAATCAAGAATTAATTAAAAATAAAAAATACAATAATTTAAAGGCTAAAATTAAATTGAACTGTTACGTTGTTTTTCAATACAAGGGATACTAAATTTAGACGAAACTATACAAATCTTGGTTTATGAATCATGTCGTCCACGGTACCTATAAAAAGTAAGGCAAGGTTGTAGATCATTGAGGAAAGTTTCAAAAAGGACACACAATCTAGGATGAGCGATCAAGATATATATGTCACCAACTCACCATCCAATAAGTACAAATATTAGTCTTTCAATAAATTTGTCTTCTAAAATATAATAGTGTCAATCTTAGTTAACTCAAATCTCATCCCAAAGATGTTACTATGTTAGTGTGATCCTTAAAATTGTCTCAATTAATTTTTAGATCGTCACTAGCGAATCACTCTCAAATTTCATTATTAAAAAAGTTTTTAACATAATATCAGATTAACCTTAGTAACTCATTTTCATACTCTATATATTCTAATAAACATATTTTATTGTTATTAAACGATAAGAAAAAAAAATTATGGTGTGAAATTTTATCTGGTACAAACATGATAATTGATTAGATCAAGAAAAAGAATCGAAAGAAAACGAAATTTGAGTCATAGACAATGATGAACACCAAAATTTAATTTGTTGGTCCACAATCATGTTTATTAACTAAAATAATGGTTACAGGATAGAATTCCAACTTAATCTTGCTCATAAAAACCTTGTGAATCTACTGATCATGCCTCAATAGCTACTTGTCAGAGTAATTAAAATGTTTTGTCTTTTAATACTCCCTAAAATAACACGGAGTAATAATAAAAGAATAGCATTTGTTGAGCCGCACGAACTTAGCTCAATTGATCAATAAGCGTAATATAATATTTAAGAAAAGAGACTAAAGTTCGAATTTCGACTGCGATAATATGGAGATTAAGTTTAAAGTGGACAGATTCCTTATGCGTATCTCCTAAATGATTTACATTACTCCAAATGCTTTATTGAATCGAGATGTGGGACTCTTGGAATTGAAGATTCAACCTCCTAGAAGAATTGTTGAGGCATTTCATTTGATAAATGTCACGGGAAGAATTGTTGAGGCATTTCATTCGATAAATGTCACGAGAAGAATTGTTGAGGCATTTCATTCGATAAATGTCACGACATCAATCAACCTCGCTCGATTTCATTATCATTTATCTAGTAATATTAGTTGTTATATTTTGACGTTATTAATTAGGCTAACATGCCTTCTCCATTTTATTTTATTGATGAGTTAAGGTTACGTTGTACATTAATAGAGCTAGACATAAAATGTAACGCAGAAATCTTTTATTAAAAAATAAAATACACTTCTAATATATGTCTCATTTTACTTATCTTATTTACCATTCATTCGTCTAACCAACCTTTTTTTTTTTTTTTTTTTTTTTTACTATCTTGGCTTCTTATTAATTTTAAATTTACAGCATGTTTGGTTCAGGGAATGAATTTTGAAGTAATAGGAATGCTATTTCATAAGAAATGGAATATGCAAGGAATAGAATAGGAATTGTATTCTACTGTTTGGTTCGCAAAAGGAATAGACTTTAGGATTACATTACAGTGTTTAGTTGATTTAAGTAATAAAAATGAAATATGTTTTAAAAGACATAAATAACCTTATAAAAATATGTGATGGTGGTGGCAATGGTGGCGGCAATGGCGGTGGCGGCGGCGGCGTTTGTGGTGATGGTGTTGCTGAGGTACTGGTGCTGGTGGCGGTGGTGGTGGCGGCGACGACGACGATGGCAATGGTAGCGGTGGCGGTGGTGGTAGTGGCGACCGTGACGATAGTGGTGGTGAAATTTGAAATAAATTTAATTGGGAGGGGGGTGGTGGTAAAATAGGAAATAGAGACTTTAGGCTATTCCCGAGAACTCAGGAATAGTCTAATACCAGGGGGCCCCCTGGGAATCTCTATTCCCCTTGCAAGGGGAATAGGTCATTCCCGGGAACAATGTTCCTGGGAATACAAGTGATTACCAAACAGAGGAATATGCCTATTACTGGGAATGTTATGCCATTCCAGGCCTATTCCGTGATCCAAACAGCACATTAATGTTTAATTTTGTGTTTATAAGTACGTACTTTCACTGTAGTTTCTAAATTATAAATTTTATTTACTAATACTAAACTTGCCCCCAATCTTCACGCAGAATTCAGGAACCAACTAAGCTGTCTGTGTGGTCATAGTGTCATACAAATACTAAATTTAATATTATGAAAAATTGATGAGAAAATAACTTCAATCAAATATTATTAATCGAATCAGATACATAAAATAGAACATAGATAGTATTAATTTAGTATCAGTGTATAAAATTTATATAATTAAAAAATACAAAAATAAATACTTTTTTTTAATGAAATAAATACTTTTTAAATAAAAATGAATTGTAAAATTATTTTTAGAAAAATGACTACTTGAATAAAACGTTGTGCGTAGGTTGGTTGAACACATTGTTTTGATAATTCAATATGTTTTCATGCAAGGGACATATAATTTGTGCAATAATTCATGCATGAATTAAATGATTATGAGAGTTGAACCTCTCTCACTTGGTTGGTAGGTTTGAAGGTTTGAGGAGTCTAAAAAAGAATACAACTAATTTTATTTAATGGTTGATTGTGTGGGCGCGTGACATAGTCACTTGTTATTTAATAACACTTTTATAGTTCATATGTGCAACTTAATTATGTGCTATATTGTTACAATAAGCAAGATTTTTTTTTCTTTAAAAAAATCATGAACTAGCTAGCTTCCACTTTCAAACAAAATAAACTTAATTTTAGTACGGAGTAACAGATAAGCTTCAAACTGCTTATAATAAGTGATAAGCTTCTTTTAGCTAGCTACTATATATGCTTGTGCAAAAAGTGTGCAATTAATGTGTAACTAGAAATAAAAAAATATTTCAAAACTGAAATCCAAAAATGTAAGTTTAATAAGGGTAATGGTGATTAAAAGCGTCCGTTTTAAAAATTTGTTTCTTTTTCACGGAAAATTATTGATTATGAATCACAATTAGTACAAGCAAAAAGAAGCACAAAGTCATAGTAAGTTATCCATTCACACCGCTATACATAAATAGCATGTTCCCTAAATAAACATATATACATCAGCATCATCTATCATTTTCTTCTTCTCCTTCTTCTTCATCCTAATTCAATGGCTTCTAAGAAAAGTTTGAAGCCAATTTTCCCTAGCCTTCAATTCAAGATCGATCGATGAATCCGAAGATTGGAATAGAAGTATGACAGCCACAAACGACGAGGTTGCAATGTCCGAGATTAGAATAATTAAAAGGAAAAATGTACAAATAGGTCATTGAACTATTTGGGGATAACAATTAAGTTACGGAATTCGAATATAGCAATTAACATTTTTAGCAGGTTTGCACTCATTGGGATTATATGTTTATTTATATTTTTTTTTCTTATTATCCTACTTTAACTACATGTAAGCATTTGACCCTTTGAAGTCAAAATTTAAAGCCCTAACTTCCTCTCTTCTCTATTTTCTTCTCCGGTTCTTCATTCGCGTATGCAAATATTGCTTCTCTATTTTGGATTTTTTCTCTCTTTCGCGGTTGTTTGCGGTATTTTTGGATCAGGAAAAATATTATCTACGCGTAATTTCTTAAACTGAAATTTCTCTTGATCGAAGTTTATACACTGAAAAACTTTCACAAAAATACATGCATATTACACGCAAAATATAACTATAATTTCAATTTAAAAAATTAGACGCAGAATATAAACAGACTTTGCATTATATTCTACGTGTAATTTTTTAAATTGAAATTATGATTGAAGGATCAAGTTGTGTGGACCATATATAAACAAAAAATACATTATTTGTGTGCATAAAGTATATTATATTATTTGAAAGAGTTAATTCCATCTGAGGTCCTCCAAGTATAATGGTTTTGCCACGTTTAGTCCTAAACTTTCAAATTGACCATCTGTGGTCCTTCGACTTTCAAATTTAACTATTCGTGGTCCAAGTTAACCACCCATGGTCATTCAACTATTAAATTTTAACCAACCATGGTCCTTTCAAGAGGACCGCAACTGGTTAAATTTCGAAAGTTGTAGGACCATGAGTGGTTAACTTGGACCATGAATGGGTAAATTTGAAAGTCGAAGTACCACAGATGGTCAATTTTAAAATTTAGGACTACACATGTTAAAATCACTATACTCGGAGGACTTCATGTGGCATTAACTCTTAATTGAATACTGAAAGTATATTATTTGTATAATGTCAAATAATGTACATTCAGTACACAAATAATGTATTTTTAATATATTAAAAATATACCTTATATTCAGAAAAAAAATATATTATTTGATATAAATGAGCCTTGTTTGATACTGAAAGTATATTATTTGTTAAAAAAAAAAATACCTTATATTTTATATGATATATATTCTGTACACAAATAATGTACTTTTAATATATTAAAAATTACCTTGATTGAACTGCTCAGGCCGCACCAACTAGTTTACCTAATGAATATTACCCTACAAAACAAAAAATACCAACATAATATAAAATTAAATTACAATAGAAAGTTCAATATATCTTATTATTAAAATTATAATTAAAACTACACCTAAGTAATTAGTGTAC